ACACAGCGTACAAGGGACTCAGCAGAAATCTCCCTCCTTAATTCCCACAGTGTGTTGAATGGCGGCCCCCCAAAAGATATAGCCACCTCCAAATCCCTGGAACCTGGGAATGTGACCTTATTTGGAAAAAGGGTCTTTGCAGATGTAATTAAGTTAAGGATCTTGAGAAGAGTTCATCCTGGATTACCTAGATGGGCCCTAAATCCAATGACAAGTGTCCTTAGAAGAGGAGGAGACACAGACAGAAGAGCAGGAGGCCATGTGAGCATCGAGGCAGACACTGAAGTGACGCTGCCCCAGGCCTAGGAAGCCAAGACACGCCAACAGCCCCCAGAAGCTGGAAGAGGTAAAGAACAATTCTCCCCTGGAGTCTCCAGAGGGAAAGCCCTGCTGACACCTTGATTTCGAACTTTTGGCTTCCAGAACTATGAGAGAATAAATTTCTGTTTTTTGTGTGTGTGTGTGTGAGGAGGACCAGCCCTGTGCTAACGTCCAATGCCAATCCTCCTCTTTTTTGCTGAGGAAGACTGGCCCTGGGCTAACATCCGTGCCCATCTTCCTCTACTTTATATGGGACGCTGCCACAGCATGGCTTAACAAGCGGTGCGTCGGTGTGTGCCCGGGATCCGAACCGGCAAACCCCGGGCCGCCGCAACAGAGCGCATGCACTTAACCACTCGCGCCACCGGGCCGGCCCCGAAATTTCTGTTGTTTTAAGCAACTCAGTTTGTGGTGATTTGTTACTGCAGCCCTAGGAAACAAATACAGTTCTATACTCGAACTAAGAGCCTCCGGACCATTCACCATCAGTGGACCCTTATAAACCAGAACATCTTTCTGTGGAAGGTGTGATTGTGTAGAGGCAAGGAGCCAGACCAGGCTAGTGGTGGATGCTCCTTCTCTGTCCTGTTCACTGAAAGGACACCTTTGCCCACACCAAGAAACTGTATCACCAGAGTGAAGCAATGGACAAATTAGAGGAGCTAGGTCTTTGGCCAAGGTCCAGAGACTCTGAGAGTGAAGCTGGGATGCTGGCAGGGCTCTGTGTGGACTAATGGTTTGGAAAGAGGGGTAGGACAGTGAGTTGCTCTATGGTGGTGGGCATAGAAATGGCAGGAATTGTTGTTGTTCAGATGGGATTCCTAGCTTCAGGTTCCCAAAGAAGCCCATGGTGCTCTGGAACATTCAGCCTGGCCTTTAGGGTGGGCTTACTGGGGCTGATAGCCTGTAAGACTTCACTCATCAAGAGTACCTTAAAGCACCCACTGTGTGCTGGCTTTGTTGTGCACTGTACGTGTCTAGGAACCTCCCAGGGCACAGTCAACGTCTGCATTTCTGGACAGTGAGAAGCCAGCCCACCTCGAAAAGCATCGGTACTCGACCTCCAGGTCTGCACTGTGCCTCTTCCCTGGGGAATACTCACCTATCCCTGTAGACGAGGCAGGTTCCTCTATTGGAGTGCTGGTCAACATTGCAGTGACAGAACTATCTGCGTGAACGTCCATGCAACGTCTTTCTCCCCAGCTAGCTCTAAGTGCCCCAGTAACTAGCCTGGTCCCTGGCTCACTGTCGCTGTCCGATAAGAGGCTGAAGAACTAAGCAGGTCAATTCTCAGGCCTGTATGAGTGTTCAGAAGAAGAAAGATTTCGTCTGGTAGTTTTAAATCCTCTGAGAGCACCTACAGCTGAAGGCTCAGGCTTAATCTCGAGAGGAGGAAATAGGATCAAAAGGAAGAGGCCCAGGTCAAAGATAAAGCTGCCTGTGAGAGGGAGAGAAGGGGTTAACCTAAACCCCAGGTTGCCAGAGGCCAAAATTTCACAACCCTTGCTCCACCAGGAAGGATCCTTGTGCAACTGCTCTAAGTCTTGGCTAAGATGGCACCCCCTACCTCCTTCCTTAGAACCCCGTCTCTCCCCCAACTCTCCTCCTCCTAAACATTAGTTTCTCTTTTATGAGCAGTTGTGGTGCTAGCAGTGGTAGGAACCGCAGCTATTGTTAAAATTATTAAGACCGGCTCCTCCAGCCTGTGGTGTGATGAGTCAGTTGCCCCCTTTTCCTGCACCTTTTTCCCTGCTCACCAAACACAGGCAGACCAGCCACCCCTTGGATGCACCAGGGGCAGTGTGGACAATGCACCTCTCTGCGATAGGCACCCTGGGAAGGCAAGGCAAGGCCATGGTCATTCATTCACTGTTACTAATTAAGGATTAGGCTTTTGGAAAGGCTGGGCAGATTTCAGACAAAGCAGCCACGGTCCTTGGCATTAACTCTCTTGGGGCACTTCTCTCAATGCAGTGTGATCAGAAGGTCCCTTTGGATTGGGTGAGGGGTGGAACAGGGGAGGTGAGGAAGGAAAGTATCAAGAAAGGAAGGCACTCATTGAATAGAGTATAGAAGGAGCCAGCCAGTTAAGAAGGGTCTTGGGTCCCCTCAGACTCCTTATTCTGAGCCCTACCTCTTGCCTTTTCTCTGAAGCTCCATAAGGTAGACGCTGTTTCAGTATGCTTGCCTCTTTCTTTCTATAAATACCTGCTCTTAGGGAATAGCCTTTTAGATTTGTTTATACTAACATGTAAATGACTGCTGGGGCTTTATGCTTGCTTATTTGTATAAGGGGAAAAGCTTCAGTCAAAGAAATGAGTACCTTCGAGTGGGGGAGGCAGAGGGCCTTCCCAATGATTCAGAAAGCACACTGTCTATTCCATCCAGAAAACCAGTGGCTGTGGCAGGGAGGCCAGGCCATTTGGGTTTAGTTGAACTGACTGAGCAACTTCTGAACCCTCCATCATCTTCCCAGAATGGAAAGTAGGAAGTAGGCAAGTGGGCAGGAGCATGGGGGTGGGGGACAAGGGACGCTAGAGCAGAGGCACACAAAGTAGGGAGGGATTACTGCCTCCACATGCACTTCTCAGGGAAAGCAGAGCTGCCACGGAAGAGGGCAGAGCTCTCTTCTTCACAGCATGACTTTTGATGTAATGAAAAGGGGTCTGGCCGTACAGCTCTTTGGAGGTAATCTCACCCTCCTCCCTTCGCCCCTTTCATCCCATGACACTTCCCAGGTCATGGCATGTTTGAGAGGAGCTCACCTCGTGAGCAAATGCAGCTAACCTGTAGCCAACCTGGATGCCACCCAGGCCTCCCCATATGCCTGGTGCGTGGGGCCAAAGTAAGGCCTGGACCACGTTATGCTACCAGTGGAGAGTTGGGGCTGGGTGGAGAATTCAGGTTACCAGAGAGGGCCAGAGTAGACTGAACAGGACTAGCAAGGAGTGCCACCCGCCTTCCCAACAGGGTGGCCCCACACAGCAGGCATCTTGGTTCAGGACAGTGTGATGCCAGCCCATGAAGGGCCTGGCCTCCAGCAGCCCCTAAGACAGGGGCTCCAAAATAGAAGACACAGAGACGGGTCAGAGGCAGTCCTGACACACAAACACCAGTATATTTCATGTGCACGAATTTCAAAAGGAAGAGACAGAGACCAATGGAGACAGAGCAGGCAATGGGCGAACCAACCAGCCGGGGGTTCTTCTGAAGAGCTTCCGCAGTATGGAGACAGTCCCACCCACTTCCAAGGCCCTTTTGCAGAGCCAAGACCTGCAGCTCCTCCAGGTCTGGGGTGGCCTCAGGGTGGAAGGTAATCCACCTGCCTTAGCCATGGCTCCTCAAGGGCTGGGCCTCTCTCCCTTCTGCATCCCCTGCGATGATGTCTGCACAGCCCAGAGCTTCGTAAACACAGATTCCCAGGAACTGACCCACTCAGCGCTGCCTCTCCAGGAGACCCATGCAGAGAGGGAGGGACCAGACAAAAGGACCCCATGGGCGCTCCCCAGGTATTATTGCTGTGAATAAGCATAGGCATAGGCCATTGTGACTCACTGGCATCAGAGGGAACAGGGCACATGTGACAGGATGCCTAGCAGACATCAGAAGCAGTTCAACCATGCAGGGCAGCACATGACCATCTGTAACTCAGAGATGCTGCCATGTCCAGTGGAGAGAGGCCCAGGACACCAGAGGTTTATAAACAGCAAGCAGACTCTCCCCGCCAGCACCCCTACTGCTTGGCAGGGCTGGGATTACTCCAAACTTTGGGTCCCTGGGCACTAAGGGATTGGGGCCCTGAAGATACCCAAAACAGCAAAAGTTGAAGTCTGGGCTGCCCCTGGTGAGCTCTGAGCCTGCAGATCCTGTGGTCAAGCCCCAGGTCATCACCTTCCTTTGCTGGGGGCTCTGCGCTCTACTAGGGATAACAGGAGCCATGGGGCACCTGGATGAAGCAGAAACACAATGCTCTGCCAATTGCCAGGCAGCCAAGTTTACTCCGAGACCTCCCGCACTTGGGTTTATAGGGCTCAGAGAGATGATGGTGCCAGGGAAAGCCCATGAGGCAACAATTGGAGTGGCCAGACCCAGTGGGCCATTCAAGGGCTTGCTCTGGCTGAGAATTATGCAGGCCTTATGCTGGGAGACATCAACATGCTGACCACCAGATTCTATCGTGGAAGGGGAGAGCAAAGGTGGGCGGTGTGGTCTAGGGGCCCACATGGAGGAGTGTTGGGGTCCGGGAGACTGAGATAAAATGAAGAGTTGGGGGAGAGAACCAACAAAACAATGACCTAGATGGAACAGAGAAGCCAGACAATATTTTCCCTCTGGAATCCCCTCCACCTGTAGTTGGAAAGCAATCTACCCCTCCACTGGAAGCCTGAATCCCTGGAAGCTCCAGGGCCCTGGAATTGGGGTCACAGTAAGGTCAAAGGTAGGGCTGGCTCCCGGAGAATGTAGTTCATCCCTGGATTTGAGGAGCCTGGCCAGGCCGCAGAGGCCGGGAAACACCCTTCTTCCTGTCCTGGACAGGGTCAACTGCACAAAGTCTCCCAGCCTTTCTCCCAATCCGGGACACCACTCCTGCCCACCCCCAGCCCACCCCCACCCTGGCTGGTGCTGTTTGCAAGGTCTAGGTGGAGCTGCAGCCCAGCAAGAGGAGATTCTCTCCACGGGTGGAATTATCACCTTTTAATGACCTATAAAAAGGGAAAGGTTAATTTCTACCTAAGAGTCCTAGTGTGGTCAAGAAGAGACTGTACCACCGGATAGGCCGCCATTCTGATAGACCCCTCCCCTCGGGGAGCTGGGGGCGGAGCCGGAAGTGGGCTGGAGTGAGGATTTCACCAGTCCACTGCCAGCAATGGACCTGTCACGGGGGAAGGCAGAGCAACTGAGATGACAACGACCATGAGCATGGCAGGGTTAATACTGTTTAAGGAGCTCAAAGGGTCAAAGCCTTGCGGGGGAGGAGTAGGGATGGGGGAAGTCCTGAGGAGGTTTGGCTGCAGGGCTGGGGCTATTGCAGAATCAGAACTGAGGCCTTCCCACTAAGGATGCTCCAAAGACCCTCCCAAAGCTGAAAGGCCCTCCTCTTTTTCTCTCGCCCTCATTCTCCATGGGTCTCCAACACCTCCATCCCCTAGAAAGCTAGATTGCCCCTGACTCGCTTGAAAATTAACCAGTCAGGTGTCTTTACCCCTCCCACCACCACCATCCCGAATTGATTTGTCTCTAGGTCCCCATTGTGGATTCACGGGGTCCATCTTGGCCTAACTGTGCGTTGGGGGTATTATTCGTTTTCAGCTGGGTCACTGCGGGGAGGGGGCACGGAGAAGAGCACCCGAGCACTGCCACAGCCCATCAGACCAGGGGTGACGAGGTGTTCCCAGTCACCGAGCCAGCAGAAATAGCAGAGGGAAGGCTGCAGGAGGGCGGGCGGGGTCTGCCTCAGGGTTCTATCTCTGGCGGCTGCTGTGTTGGCTAGGGAGCTGGGGATGGGGGTGGGTGGGGTGATTGACATGGACAAAGGGGCTGCTAGTGGTAAAGGCCTTGAAAATAAGAGAGAAAAGGGGGAAACGCCACCGAACACACAGGGACTAAAACCTCCAAAAGCCCAAGGTTGGTGGGAATCCAGCACCAGGGGGGGCCCCCAGAAGGCCAAGGGAGCAGCGGGGGGCCCTGGGGGAGGGGAGAGGAGCCAAGGGAAGGCCTCCCAGCCCTTGCAGACCAACACTGCTGCCAAGCAGCCTCCTGGCTGCCTAGTCTCTCCTTAGGCTCCAGCTCAGCAGGCCCCCAGGGAGGTATTGGTTGCAAGCAAGCACCTGAATATTGCCTAATGGAACCAGCCAAAGCCCGACTAAACAAGGTGGGAGGGAGAGAGGCGGCCGCTACAGCAGCCCCAAGCCTCCGCAGGCCTTGCCTCTCACCTTCTGCCCATTCTCTGAGTCCCTTAGCCAGGATAGGGCCTGCTGCTTCCAAAGTCATCCACGTAGTCCAGTTGCTGCTTAGCCACAGGCCTCCCGCCGCCAGCCTCCGAGCTGGGCTGAGATCCACGGACCCTTCCCCAAGTCCCTCTGCTGCCTCACACCCCACCGCCAACACCTGGCCACGCCCCCACTCCTGACCACGCCCCCAGTGCCCGCCCACAGTGGAGGGTGTGCGGGCTGTGTGCGCCCTACCGGGCTGAGGCCGGCGGGGGCAGGGCTTGTGCTGTACAGAAAGGGCAACCCCACCAGCTTGGTACCTTTGTCCACACGGTCCATGAGAGACCCCTGGGCCCCACCCACCAGCCCCCCACTCAGTCAGTCTTGACGTGGCCGTTGGCCAGGGCCAGGGGGCCGCCGGGCTCCCCGGGCTCGGCGTCCTTGTCAAAGCGGAGGCGGAGGGTGTTGCGGATGACGAACTGCTCCACGATGAGGGCCCCGCAAAACCAGGGCACGGCGTACTCCAGGGTGATGAGGCCCATGAAGTCAAAGTCGAACTGGGAGTAGTCCCAGGGGCAGGCGTTGAACTGGCGCAGGATGTAGCCGGTGGTGAACTCCCACAGGTAGGTCCAGAGCGTGTAGATGAGGCAGCGCACCAGCAGCGGGCAGCGGCCCCGCAGGCGCAGGTACATGCGCTCCACGATGAGGATGGAGGTGCCGTAGATAAAGAGCGCCCACACGCTCGTGACCCCCGGGAACTTCCAGTTCAAGTTCACCACGAACTCCCAGGCCGCCGTGAACATCACCTCGCAGAAGTAGCCGTGGATGGCGTACAGGTACCAGCGGGACAGCGCCGTCAGGGGCTCGGCGGAAGCCATGGCGCCGACTGGGGCCGGCTGCGGAGGGGACACAAAGGAGACAGGTGAGGGAGGGAGGGAGCCCCTCCTGCGGCTTCCACCGTCCCGCCCAAGTCTCTGATGTGACCAGACTGGAGGGGATTTCTAACCTGCCTCCACCTTTCTCTTTGGTTACCAGTCACATTCTTGACCCTACTCCATGTTCATTACTTTATTCCATATTCCTTACCTTAGCCAGGCAGGCATGAGAAATGAAAGGACGAAAACGAACAGCCCCACTGGCTTCCTCTGAGCAACTCTACTCAAATGCTACTTGGAAGGAGATGTCTTCTCCATTCCCTATAATAACTTATTTGGATTATCTGTGGTGGATGGAAGAGTTGGCTGTCCTGGCCCACCAATCACCCCCATTTCTAGGCTACTGGCTGATTTCTCACCAGGCCCATCCGTTGGGAGCCCCATCTTTTCTCCCATTTTTTCTCAAACCGTTCCTCCTCACTTATATTTCTGAGATCTTTCTAAGCAACCTATCACATATGTCTTTTATGTGTGTGTGTGTGTATGTGTGTGTTAACATGTACATAACATAAAAGTTACCACTTTAGCCATTTGTAAGTACAGTCATGCGCCACATAATGACATTTCGGTCAATGACAGACCACATATACGACTGTGGTCCCATAAGATTAGTACCATATAGCCTAAGTGCGTAGTAGGCTATACCATCTAGGTCTGTGTAAGTACACTCCATGATGTCTGCACAACAGAATCACCTAATGACACATTTCCCAGAACATATCCCCATCGTTAAGTGAGGCATGACTGTATACAATTAAGTGGTATTAAGTAATTCACCTTTTTGTGCAATTATTACCACCATCCATCTCCAAAACTTTTTCAACATTCCGAACTGAAACTCCATAACCATTAAACACTAACTCCATATCCCCTCCCCAGCCCATGGCAACCACCACTCTACTTTCTGTCTCTATGAATTTCACTACTCTGGGTACCTCATTTAAATAGAATCATACAGTATTTGTCCTTTTGTGACTGGCTTATTTCACTGAGCACAATGTCTTCAAGGTTCATGCATGTTGTAGCAAGTGTCAGAATTTCCTTCCATTTTTAAGGCTGAATAATATTCCTTTGTGATCTATCTAGATATTATCACATTTTGTTTATCCATTCATCCATTAATGGGTTGCTTCCACCTTTTAGCTATTGTGAATAATACTGCTGTGAACATGGGTGTACAAATATCTGTTCGAGTCCCTGCTTTTAATTCTTTTGGGCATATACTCAGAAATGGAATTGCTGGATCATATGGTAATTCTATTTTTATTTTTTGAGGCGTGGCCTTGCTGTTTTGCACAACGGCTGTACCATTTTACATTCCCACCAGCACTGCACAAGCGTTCCAATTTCTCCATATCCTTGCCAGCACTTGTTATTTTCTGGTTTTCTGATGATGGCCATGCTAATGGGTGTGAAGTGATAGCTCATTGTGGTCACATTTGTCTTTAACTGCTCCATTAAGTAGGGTTTTGGTGTTTAGTTTCAATGTTGAGAGGAAACCAGTGGGCTGACAGAGCAGAGAGTCCTCCCTTCTACTTCTTATTCCCTTCCCTTCCTCTCTTTTAAACCCCACCAGTCTTCAAGGCCCCATCCTGCTTCCCCGAAGACTGGCCTGACCCACAGCCTCTCTGTCTTCTCCTTGCCCTCCACCAGCGACTATGTGGACCACACATTTGGCCCTTTATCCAGTGCCATTCTATTTACTATTTTGAGGCACGTGCCCCCTTGATCCAACTAGCCTGTGTGCTTCTTGAGGGCAGCGACTCTTTTCTAGTCCTCTGTTCTGCAGCCTTGACACAGGACTCTCCTGAGCAGGCATTCTCTAAATGACACATGTTGTTTATGTGGAGGATGGGGTGGGAGAGTTCAGGGTTGCATCAAGAATGGGGACCCAGGGCACGAGAACATGAATCCCAGCTCTGCCAGCTGCCAGTGGACACCAGGCTTGACATCTCTGTCAATCCCCTCTCTGAGGTGGGAGAGGGGACAGAGGTTAACAAGGTGACATCTGCATCTGCCCACCTGTCTGGGAATCCCAGCCTCATCTTTCAGCTAAAGCAGGTAGTCACAATAATACCCACCCTTGTGCATTGCTTTGTGGTCTTCCCAGCACTTTCATTCACATCTTGTCATTGGTTCTTACAAAATTAAGATTCACATGAAGGGCGGGTAGTTTTACTCCCATTTTTAAAGAGAGGTAATTGAGGCTCAGAAAGAAGTCATTTGCCCAATTCCCCAGGGCCAGTGAATGGTAGAGCTGAGACTAGAATCCATATCTCTTGATTTCTTCTTCAAAACTCATTCCACTACATACTAATACCCATCTCCTAGACATGCGTGCCTAATGTCACTCCCCTGCTCAAAAACATTCAATGGCTCCCCATTTCCTAATGAAACAGTACAGCATCCTCAGGTTGGCATTCAAGACTCTCCATGATCTCACTCCAGTCTACTTTTGCAGTCTTATTCTCTCAGTCCAGCCCTCCCTGTGTTACCTCCAGGCCTTTGCAGATCCTATCTATTGTGTTTCGTGTGCCTTTCTCCTCTTACCTCCACAAGTACAAACCCAGCTTACAGGTTACCTTCAGAAAAAAATCTTTTTCATCTTCCCAGGCACAAGTCCTTTCTTCCTCTTCCAAATATCCACAGCACTTACTGTCTCTCTTTGGTCCATGATCTTCTGTTTTATACATTGATAACTTTCAGTCTCCAGCTGGAGATCTCTTCTGTGTTCTACACCTGCGTATCCCACTCCTTCCTGAACACCTCCATCTAAATGTCCCACAGGCACCTCATACTCCTTTCCTAAATCAAACTCATTATCTTTTCTCCAAAACCTGTTTTCCTCCTATGATCCCATCCTGATTAATGGTACCACCACACACCCAGTTAGCAGCCAGAGGCTCTGCCGTCATTCTAGCTTCCTCCGTCGCATCCCCACTCTAAGATGAGCTCCCTGAGAGTAAGGACCTTGTCTGTCTGGTTCAGCACTGCATCCCCAGTACCTAGAATACTGCCTGGCACACAGTAAGCATCCAATTCAAGAGTGAAGACATTCTTTATCAGTTAGCAATTGCTACATAACAAACCATCCCAAAACTCAGTGGCTTAAATCAACTCTGATTTATTATTACAGCTTACACGTCTGTGGGTTGAAAGATCTTGGCTGCAAGGATCGTGAGACTGTGAGTCCTCTGGGGGCTCTGTCCTATGCTCTGCTCCACTTGCCTCTCATCCTTCACCGAGGCTCAGTGGACTAGCCCCGGCATGTTCTTCTCATGGCAAGGGCAGAGGCACAAGAGCAAGCAAGTCCAACTGCACCAACGCTTTTTAAGACTCTGGTTAAGTCATGCCCACTAACATCTTCTTGGCCAAAGCAAACCAAGTCAGCCGTTAACTCCTTTCTACCTCTTAAATATCTTTGAAATCCATCTCCTTCTCTTCCTTCCTCTTTCTCATTACTGTTGCTCTGGTTCAAGCCCTCATCATCTCTCACCTGGATGACTCCCATAGTCTCCCAGCTGGTCTCCCTGCCCTGTCTTGCTCCTTTCCAATTCACTCATGACACCATGAAAGACTGTATACAAACAGCAATCTTCCTAAAATGCAAATCCGATGCTTCTCCCCACTTACAGCCCATGAGTGGATCTTTAACATCTCTCATTGAGAGGAAGGCTCAGCCCCCTGGGGACGGCTGGCAAAGCCCTTTGAGACCCACCTCTGCCTTAGATCCTGTCCTCTGGATCTTTACATTGCTGTTTTTGCTACCTGGGCTGCCCTTCCCAACTGCCACCACTGCCACCACCCCCAGCCCATGGCCCTTGAAGCCATCATCCTCCTTCAAGATCCAGCTCCTCCTCTGTGAAGACTTTTCTAAATGCCTCTAACTCCAGCGCTGTCCACTGCCCTGCCTGTTAACCTCTGCACCCAGTTCACTTCTGGGACACAGCACTCCTGATCCGTCTGAAGGCCAGCACCAGCAGCCACCTGATGAATGTTTGTTTAATACAATGTTAAGAGACAAAAAGCAGGATTCAAAACTGAATATTTAACATGATTTTGATTCTGCAAAGGCACACATACATGTAAATATATAAAACATTTAGCCACAGTCACCCCTGGATGGTAACCTCATAAGTGATTTTTATTTCCTTCTTTATATTTTTCTGTTACTCTAAAATTTTTTTCTAACAAGTATGTGTAACTTTTATACATGTTTGTATAAACATTTAAAAATGTTTGTTGAATGAATATGTGTTAGTCATCTTTGTGCCTTGTCTATAGAAGATGCTCAATGAATTTGCCAGACACACGAACCTAAGGAAACTTGAAATCGTGTAAAGTTAACACAGATTCTTCCCTCCTGAGCCATCCCCAACAACAAACCATGACTCCCAGGTTTGAATAGGGTGTACACCCTAACTGCCTGGGTTTGCGTCCTGGCTGATACCCCCCACCTGCGGGACCCAAGACATGTTAACCTGAGCTCTCTGTGCCTCAGTTTCCTTATAGGTGAAGTGAGGATAATAAGAGAGGCTACCTCCCAGGGTTACTGTGAGGATGAATGAGCTGATAGACACACTAGGACCGCAGCAAATGCTCAAGAAAGGGTGGCAGTCATTTCTGGCACGGAGCCAGGCTCCCGCTTTGAGCACCACCTCCTACCTGAGGCAGGGTCATGCTGCCTCTGCCCTCGCTAGCAGCCGGGCAGCCTCCTTGCCAAGCAGGTCAGGTCTTCACCTCCACCCAGCGCACCAACCCGACAGCCAAGCAAGCCTGTGAAAACAACAACCACACATGCAGACTCCAGGAGAACCAACCTCAGCTGAGTCGATGAGAGCTTCCAGCTTCCGTGTGGCCCAGGGGGGATTAAGGAAAGGGGAGGGGTCTCAGAACCAGCCCCTCCGAGGCCAGGCTTGAAAAGCAGGGTGGAATGTAAGGGCCGGCTTTCCTGGCACAGCTTCTCACACCCTCATTCTATCCTGAACCCCCGGCAGGTTGGGGTTCAGGGGCCGGGGAGAGAACAGACCCAGGCTCCAAGGAAACTCACTGCGGACTGAGGAGGGGCCCATGATCGAGGCAGGCGGGACGGTGGCCTGGAGACCACTCTGCCTCTGCCTGGCTCGGGCCCCTTTGGACTTAGGTCTGTCCACCTGACCCGCCCTCACACCCCTGGCTCCTCCTTCCCACAGGATCTAGCGGAAGGGGCTTCCTGCTCAGACGTGCTCTTCTGCAGCAGCCTGACACAACTAGTGATTCATCACTCAGGTCAGCCCCCTACCTTGATGCTGATTTTAAAGTCCTGCTCTCCTTGCCTCTTAGTCTCATCTTGGGACAGTTAAGAATAGTTTCCCAGTCAGTGACAAATCAGAGGCCCCACCCCCCAGAGCAGATGACCTGGAAGAGCTGGACCCCCCCCAAAACCTAGGAGCAAAACCAAGATTAAAGCAGTCAGAGAGAGGGAGCAGGCAAGCTGCTGAACAGAAGAGAAGATGGAGGAGAGAGAACAGGGTAAGCCCAAGGCCTGGATTCCGTTTCTGGAATCTTCCCTACCTAGAAGAACAGGGGTAGGTGGAGGGGAAGCATACCTAGGCAAGGTCAGGCCGTGTCCAAGGGTCGTGCCAGGAGAACACGCCTGGTCCACGCAAGATGAATGGGGGAAACTGGAGGTGCTGGCTGGGGCCAGGAGATGGGGGTGAAGGCAGGGAACAGGGGCATGAGACAGTGTCATCAGCTGGGACGTCAGCTCCCACTGTGGTGGGACAGATGCTAAGATTAGAGGCAGGCATTGGCTCGGGTGGATTTTTCAGAACTCCACTCCCCAAATCCATTTCTAATAATCACAGGAGACGTGCTTAAACTTTGAGCTAGGGCAGGCTCACCCACTCTTTGCTGGGCCCAACAGACCCCTACCCCTGCCCTGGCCTCCCCCGACCCGAGCCCTTTGCCCCGGACCCTTCCAGTACCTCCTTGCTCAGCTCTGGGATCAGAGCCCTGGGAAAGCCTGCATCAGGAAGAACCAGCAGCTCACTGGATGTTCGCCTCTTTCTCCTGGTGACAAACACAACCGTCCTGAGGACCATGACACAGAGGGGACAGCCCAGGAAGGAAAATGCAGAGTGGAGTAAAGAGGAGGAGAGGGTGGGGAAGACCAAAAGCAGGAAAAAATAGTTTGGAGAGCTGCACAGTTTCACAAGGGGATTTTGGGGAACACCATTCGAATACAAGAGCCCTTGGACGTGTTGACGAAAGGGCCCGGAACATGGAGTTCCAGCAAAGGGCCAGAACTCAAGGTGACTTGTTCAGGCAGGGCACTGCCCCTCCAAGGTTGTGTCTCACCTGTCACTCTCAGATCCTGCTGGGCTGTTCCTTGGGGTGGCAGAGAGCAGAGCGAGCAGTTGAGAGGGGCAAAGAGAACCCACAAAGTCCAAAAGGCTAGAGACAAAACTAGATGGGATGATTGCCCTTGGTTTTGCCAAAGAATCCCATCTCATTCCAGGAAGCTAAGGTGCCACAACACAATGATTCCGGGAATTTTTGTCCACAGGAGCGTCGTGTTAGAAAATCGGGATTCCCCTTCCATGCAGCCAGGCCGGGCAGCCCTTCCGCTTTCGCCCCATTTACTTCCCCTCTCCAGGCACCACGATCACTACACTTCCGAGATGCAGAGCCCTTCCAGGGGCCCCCTGCGGGCAAGGCAGTCGGGGGGCAGCTTGAGTGACCCTGAGTCCAGTCCCCTGGTAGGCTCTGTCCTGGAAGTGAGTGGAATCAATGAGGGGTGGGCAGTTGCCTTTACCTCAGGGTGTAAGATGCAAGATCTGAGCTTCCCCTGTGGGTCATCAAGTTAGGGGGTAAGGAAAACATGGGCTTGTTACAGAGCCAGAAGGGAAGCAAGTGGGGAAAAGACCTGTGGTCACTGGCTGGCCCAGACTCCATAGAGTTCCACGCTCTCTTCCTGTGGGCATCCCCAGGAAAGTCCCCTAGATGGTCCTCCTTCCACCTCCCAAGTCACAAGAGTAATAATCAGGCACTCTTCTCAGCACTTGCCATGTATTAACTCAGATAGTCCTCACACCCATTTACAGATGGGGAAATTGAGGTAGAGAAAGGCTAAATAATTAGCCTACGTTCTTACAGCTATAACAGGCAGAGCAGGGATTCAAACCCAGCAAGTCTGGCTCAGAGCCTTCACTCCCAATCAGCACATCACACTGCCCTTGAGGCTGACTACAGGCCCCTCTGAGGGCACTGTCATTTTCTGAGTATCTGCTTCTGGAAGGCTGGGATGGTATATGGAGAGACGGATGGATGTAAGAAGGATGTGAGCTTCTAGGTGGATCATCAATGAAGCTCAGAACTGGGTGTCAGAGCTACCGAAAGCTCAGCCTATTCTGAGAAGCCAAATTCTGTTCTGAGGCCAAGTTCTGGCAGGATCCATACGAAGGTCCTCCAGGGTCACAGCTGACCCTCACAAGACTATGGCAGCAGCCACCCCTCGGGGCCTCAAGGCATGTGCCATTCAAAGATCTCTCACCAGGACACATACTACCCAGAGCCTCCCTGACTGCCAGCTTGCCTCAGTGCTGCTGGGAATCTCAGATGGCCCGGCCCCACCACGGAAATGCCAGCCAAGGGCAGTGACCAGCGTGCAGGCTGCCCAGAGAAGCTGTCTGCCTGGAGCAGCAGCAGCCAGAGTGCCAGGAGCAATCATTCCACATGAGGAGGCAGGCGGGGGAGGATTTCAGAGGGCCTCAGATGCTAAGCAAATCCCAGCGGACAGGTGCAGGAGGCCAAGTGGGCTTAGGGGACGGAGTCAGCCTGGCACAGAGGTTCAGGGCTCAGGCAGCAAAGGGCACCTGTGGGCGGGGCCCGCAGGCTGGGCATCCTGTGCATAGCCTGCAAGGCTCTTCCCAGACCTCACGTGGCCTCCTTGTGGTCATTCAGGTCTCAGCTCGTTACCCCTTGGAGACCTTCTCTGATCTCCAGTCCAAAACAGCCTCCCTGTCGCTCACATCGTCCCATTTTATTTTCTTCATAGCACTTTTACTTTCTGACATTTTGCTACTTTGTTGTCTATCTCCCCCAATTAGAATGAAAGCTCCATGAGGGCAGGGGCTCTGTCTTGTTCACTGCTGGGGAACCAGTGCCTAGAACCGTGCCTGGCAGAAAGACCCACTAATACCTGTTGAATGAATGAATGGGCCCAAACAGGTGCAGGCCCTTCAGCACTGATGAGGGCAGGTATAAACGGCTAGCTGGCTCAGCCTTTCTCTTCTCCTCTTTCTTGGGAAATATAGCCATTTAAAAATTTTAATTCTAGCATTTTAAAATATCTTTATTATTTTTCCTGATTACAAAAGTAACATGTGCTCACAGCTGAAATTTAAACATTACAGAAAAGAATGACTTAGAAAGCAAAAGTAACCATCATCTCGCACCTTACAGAAAGTCACTACTAATGGTGTGTTGTGTATTCATCCAGATTAAATTTAGTTTTAAAAGAAGCAAATTCATGCATCATAGAAAGAAAGGCATTCATAATTCCACCAAACTAGCAGCCATTATCATTTCCCCCTTGCAATCTTTTCTCATGTGTTTATTTTACAAGTTACCATAATGTACTTATTCTATAACCTGACATTTTCATTTAATGTATCATAATCGTTTTCCCAAGTTGTTATATTGCCTGTGTTCTCATTATTCTAATGGCCGTGTAATATTCCACCAAGTGGAAAACTATAATTTACTTAACCTAGATGTTCAACAAAGGGAGAACAATTGTTTCCTGTTTCCACTACTACAATGACACCACAAGAAACATCTTTTTAATGCCTGTAACAAAAGAATTCAGCCCTTTTCTTCTCTGGGACTATTTCCTAATGAAAGATTTCTTAATGAATAATACCAGAAGTGGGGTCACTAGACGGAAGGGTACAACAGTTTTAAGGCTAATGACGTGGATTGCTCTGGGGAATTCTGTGTTATGTGGGGAACAGATCTCCCGTCTGAGTCACCACGTTCCCACTGTGGCCTCCATGGCCATCTCTCCACCCCCACCCCACTCCCACGGTCCAGGCTCACTCACACTGCCCCAGCTATATATCAACCCGAGAATACACTTCCTGAAAGACCATCCAATTGCAAACTGATTTTGCAAGCCCAGGGTGAGTGAAAAGTAGATTCTAGCCCTGAGTTTTAAACTCTCAACTGGCAGTAGAGTCAAGATCTCCCTAAAGCTGAGAAATACCTGGTTACCCTTTTCCCTCCCTGCAAACTCCTGTGTGGAATCTAAGGCTCAAGGCTCCTGTGGACCAGCCCAGCAGCTCATAAAAGCTTGTCCAGTCAGGAGTGCAAAAGGCCTTCCGGGAGCTCTCTGCCTGCTGGTCGCCGATTCCACAGTGGGACTGCCTGCCCTGTACAGACAGAACAGCCTTTAAGCCGGACAGGCCTCTGGGACTTGGGAAAGCAACCAACTGTCATTTTTTAAAGCGTCATCAAGGAAAAGCCGGAGACTGAGGCTGGAAAGAAAGGCCATGTGAGCACAGATGAGACTCCAGGTGGGGGCCTCTCGCCCTACATGCAGCTCTGCTGGACTGAGGAGGAGGTGCCGCTGAAATGTGGCGAAAGCATCAGAGGACTTGCTCCTCTTGAGCCCTGGTGGTCGCTTTTACGGCACCTAAGGTGCCACAAATCCCTCACCTCCCAATGCCCTGGAGGCTCTACCCAAGGCCACCTGAACTGCTCATGGCTTCCTGGCAGAGTCCGGAATCCTAGGTGAGGTATAGTTCCCACTGCACAGAAGTAAAGCCCGAGGCCCAGAGCATCCATGAGCCTACAGATAAGAAATAGAATTTGGGGAGATGCTGGCTGTCTCCTATTTGCTGGGTATCTCACATCACTCAGGTCAGCCAGTCTGGGTCTGGCCCAGTTTTCAGAGTCCATGTGGGTATAAGATGGCTCCAGCACGTGACATGGCCTGAAACTGCTGGACACTTCCCTCCTGTTCCAGAACTGTAGCCCTGCGACAGGCCTGTGATGGGAAGCAGACTCAGCACCGGAACCTCCAGACCTGTGCCCTTGCTGCTGTGGCACGAAGGGCCTGGGATCCCCGGGAGCCTGTAACATACTCACTTATCACACCCTTGAGTGTGCGGCTCAGAACAGACATCAGGATCGCCGTCCAGGAGTGTCCCAGGTTAACCTTTGTCCTGGTGCCTGGCTGGGCCTTGGTGTCATTCTCAGCAGTGTGGGCAAGCATCAGCCCCAGGGCTCAGCCGATCCTCGGCTGGTGGGCCGGCGGCTCCCATGTGTCCCTGGGAATAAAAGAGGAGGCGTTCATTAGCTTAAATTGCCCCCAGTTCCAGGCAAGCAGGTCAGCCAGAAAGGCAGCCTCGAGGCAAACACCACAAGGGCCCGGGCTCCACGCCCAGCACTAGACACTCCTCCTGCCCAGGGCCCCTCTCCTGGAACCTGCCACCTCCTCTCTGCTGTCCTGTTTGCTCGGGTCTGGTTAATCCAGTGATGAGAGCCTGGGATGGGTCCCAGGCAATTCACACGCTGGGTGGGGACTTAGAGCTTCTTGCACCATGAGTGAAAGGGTGCACACTTGTAAATCTGAGAGGGGATATAATTTTAGAATCCAGCTCCATTCTCACTTAGCTTCAAGTTACACTCCCACCTTCACCCTGTGGTGGGTACATCTGTTCTCAAGGGCGGTCAAGAGCCTCGTGGAAGGCAGACAGGGCAGGACATTTGGTTTAGCATTTTGGGAGTCAAGCAGAACCACACGCAGAAAAACAAGCAAACCAACAAAATGGGCGCTAAACCCCTCTACCCGCAATCCCACCACACTAATATTTATTTCATTTTATGATTTTATCACTGCTATTGTTGAGGCCCTTCCTATTAATATCAGTAACTGACTACATGCTGATATAAATGTGACTTTATAATGCCCTTTGCCACGTACATGTTTTTAATAACATCCCCAAGACCTGACCATTTGATGGAGATTCCGACATTTTTTGTTTTAATATGAAGGTGATGAAGCTTCCCTGAAAACCCCTTGGATGCAGCACCATCTGCACGAGCCCGAGGACAGAGGGCATGTCCAGCTCAGCCCTATAGCAACACAGACCGGCTGTTCAGAAACCGAGAACAGTATGTGACTGGGGGTGGGAATTGGCACCATCCCCCCATGGTCGGCCACGCAGGGGGGATCACAGAGATGCCACCCCGTGCTGATGCCCACAGCCACCTCCTCCCTCCTCCCACCCGCAGGCTCTTTGAGCAGGGGTGACTCGGGCCTTTGCTCCCTAAGCGGACAACTTTTGAGGCAGCAGGGGAGTGGAGGAGAAGTGAAAGGGCAGGGGTAGGGACCTGAAATTCACTGTGTGCACACATGCTTGTGGGCAGGGAAAGTGTACACCCCCTAGGTCTCTCCCCAGGGGCCTCTGCACCAAGGAAAGTGAAGGGCAGAGGGTAGGAAGTGAGTGGGCTGCTGTGCTCTGCCTTGTCTCTGTCTCTCCCCATCTCCTCCACAGACAGGAGCCTCTGACTCTGCCCCGCCTGTCCATCCTCCTCCCTTCTCCCAGCCTGCCTGATGGTGGGCAGGGGTCACCCTGGCACGTACCTATCACCTGGAGGAAAGGGCTTTAATGGGGCATGTCCAACATGCACTCCACCCCCAGCACCACTCTGACCCCGTGCCTGCGGGGGTTCAATCCCACCCGCAGCACTTCCGTGGGCACAAGGGCACTTCCCCTTCCCCAGGCCCCAAGCAGGCAGCATCAACAGCACAAGTCAAAACCAAAAAGAAACAGAAACCAAAGCCCATATCCTGGCAGCACAGGCCACTGGCGCTGTAGTCAGCCCTGGGAGCCCGTTGCTGGCTGAGGTGCCACCCTGGCAGATGAAGCCGTAACAGTCAGAACAGGCTCCCTCTCGGGGCCAGCCTGGCACTGGACACCTCCTGCTTCCTAGTCTGTAGGCTCTTCCCCCAGGGAGCTGGTGGGGGCTGGATGAGAAGGTGATCGTATAGCAGGGGTCCTACTTCTGCCTTCAAGTGCGCAAGCTGTTCCCAGCCCCCTCTGACACTCCCTGACACCCTAGAGCAGGTCCCAGGGTGCGGAGGGCATGAGGCTCCTTTGTGGACTACGTGACCTCAACCAGAACTTTTTGGAGCATATGAATGTGTGAAGAGCCCTTATAGGAACTACCATGTGGGTGAAACATACTTTTTCTGGTATATCGCTCATGATTCTCCCAAGACTCCTGCAGGGGAGAGCAGGAATTGTCACCCGCCCCCCACATTTTAGAGGTGAAACATGGAGTCTCAGGACATTAAGAGAGTTGGCCAAATCCATACATTTGATTTGAATCCTGGTCTTTGGGCTCCAGACTCACCCCCTCCCTATACAGCACGCCTTCAAACTGCTTCCCATCCCAACTCATTCCTCAGGCCCATGTCTGCACGCGTGCATCCTTCATTCAGCATAATCTACTGAGTCCTTTCCGTAAGCTGCTTGTTTGTAAACATACAGCCGAGTCTGTCCATCTAGCCTCTCCATCAACACGCTGGGTGCTCCTGGGAGTTTAAGGGAGCAGAGACCACCACACCGTTTCAAGCCTGTCCTCTCTACCTGCCCTCCTCCGCAGCCCAGCACACCCACTCCTCTTTCGAGACCCTGCTCCCTCCTTCTTCTTGTGATGCCATTGTCCCACAGCCTCCCAGTTATTCCATCACCGATGTTTCCACAGGACTGCACATCTTTCTATTGAAACATGTTGTCCCATTTTAAAATTATCATGTGTCTATTTCCCCCTCCACATGATGAATTCCTCGAGACCATGGAATTTCTGTTGGATGGATGGACAAACAAGGTGGAGAAGGGTCCAGCTAAATTCTCGGGTGATTGCACCAGCCAGTGTTAACAAAGTATAAAGAGGCCACGGGCCTTCCCTAATTTTTAGGTCACCATCATGGAAGGGATCTCTCCTGCAAAGCACCATAAACGTTGGTTTACAATGACCAGGGCTGTCTCTGCAGACCAGGGAAGAAAGGAGGGTGCTCGCTCTCCTTTCTCCCGCCTCCAAGAGCCATCACCCAGACTGAGAGGCGAGGATAGATGGGGTGGGTGGCTCAGGTCTGGACAATACAGAAGACATCACACGAGGAGGGCTGGGGCAGGAACAGAGCGTCCCAGGCATCCCAGGAGACACTGCAGGCTCCTACGTGGGCAAGGGGCCAGGCTCGAGTTCAGGTCGGAGAATAACAATGCCTATTCTGTTATTTCTACAATATGCTGGCACTCTCAGAAGGCACATCCAGTTTTCATGCACGTAGAATTAGTTTTCCAAAGAGGTTTAACCAGCAGCTGCTGGCAGGAAGTTCCCTCTGCATCATTCTCTCTCCTCCCCTATAACTATTTAGGGTAAGCTGGGCTTGCGTGATTGAATCTCTGCCTCTCTGACCGGAACCTAAAAACCAAATCTCCCCTCACCACCCCCACCCCTGTCTCCACGGCCTGGAACCTAAGACTGGAGCCAAGAAGCGGCAGGGAAACACTGTCCCTTTTTCTCTCCCACTCTCCTCTTCCTTAGCGCTCCTCAAATCTCTCTCACCCCAGGCGCCCACAAAGTAAAGAGAGGATGCCCCAAAGACCCACTGGGGAACCCTCTGGTTACTCAAAGCCCCCTCGTTCTTCCCATGTGACCCAGAACAACTGCTTTTACTTGTCCCATTGTAAGACCAGCCCTGAACACAAGTGGATCTGGCAACTTCCCAAACCAAGGAGTGACCGCGCTAAGCTTCAGATGCAGCTGGAATTCCAAATCCCCCTAGAGGAAAGGCTGTATCTGGTCAGCTCCCCCTGGGGAGCAAGGAGACCCAGCCCTGGGGCATAGGGGAGGTGGGTGGAGCTAGGGGACAGGCCCCCTACTCCACTTGGCCTTGTCCTTCCATTTTGTGCCCCATCACTCAGGGCTTAGAATCTGGGTTTCCCTGCCTGCCGGACATCTTGCCACCCTGTCTTCTGTCTCACCTTTGGGACTTCTTGACCTAGGGCTTCTTGACCTAAGCTTCCCTGTCCTGTCACCCTTCTCTCCTCCTCCCCATCCAGCCCACTCTACCTTACCTGCCCCTCCCAGTGCCCCCCTCTGAAACAAACCCTGACCGCCCATCCCATAACTGGGAGGGTGGTCTCTGGCCCCCTCCCTCTCCCCTTACCCTCCCATCCCACCTCCTGGCACTGGGTAGCTGCTGCTCGCTGTCTGAAAGGCTGGACAGCTGCTGGGCTCTCTAATTAGCTGCCTGGCTGCTGTCCCAGAGCGAGGCATGCGTTACAGTAAAGGGTTGCCTCACCTCCCCTTCATCAATAATCCCCTATGCAGATCCCATCAGGCGGCAGCTGAGGGGCCCTCGAATCCTTGTCACGTGAGAACAGCAAGGCTCCTCCTGTCAGCCGGAAAGGGACAGAGAGTGGCCTCACAGCCTCACCGACAAAGTGACCAGGCATTTCTTTACCTAGGTTCTCCCTATTACTGCCATGGACTCAGGGTGTCCCACAGGGTACCCCCCTACCACACCATGCCTTTGGAGCAAGAGGGACCCTGCCCCTTTGTTGCCTCACCAGTGGGTCTTCCCGAGGACAAGCCTGGGCACCCAGGGCCCGACTCTTCACAGCTTTCTACAGCCAAGCCACCCTAGAGATTTGTAAACAACCAGAAGCCCTAGGTCAAGAAGTCCTGTGGAGGCCGGTTTGTTTATTCGAGGTATTGTATTCCAGCAGTCAACAAATATTTCTTGAGAACCCGCTGAAGGCCAGGCATTGTACTAGGTGTGAACAAGACAATGTTCCTGCCCCCTTGGAGCTCACAGGCTTGGAGGGAGACAGAAAATTAGTAAGCAAGCCAACACATACTGTAATTTCTGATTAGCCCAGAGGAGCCTGAAGGGCAGGTGCAGGAGGGAAAGAATGAGGAAAGAGAGTTGTTCTGGGGGAGCTCTGACAGTTGCTGTTTGCTTCACACCTTACCCAATCAGGACGGTCCCTTTCCTTTAAGCAATGGCCCAGAAGAAAGGCGGGCATCCACCAGGCCAGGCACTGGCTGCAGCCAGGCACTTCCATGGGGAAGCTTAAGCCCAGCAGCCCTGGCCCCTCACTCAGCCTCTCACTGGACAGCTCCATCTACCGTGAAAGCACTGAGCCTTGCAACATGCGCAAAACATGGCTCCAAACAGCACTTAGGCAAGAGTAATTAAAGGGAATGTTATCTCAGTTAGTCTCTCATTAGCCATGTAATTAGACTGCTGAAAATAATTAACATTCCTTTTGACAAAGGAAACAGAGGGCACGTTACATTACGACAGCCTCAAAACAGCCTGAGCAAGGCCGGGAGGAGAACTCATCACCCTCCAGTCCTGCAGGACAGAGTCAGCATCCAGGAACCCGAACCAGGTGGCCAGTCCTGCCCTGGGCCAGGCTCTCAGGTGAGATGAGGCACATGACAATGGATGCTCTGATGTATGTATTACAGATACAGATCATAACAACATCCTTGTACATACTCAGGGAAAAAGAACTTGAAGGATATGCATGACGTATCAAGATGGCAGGCCAAGGACATAGAGGGCCTCCCCCAAGGCTCTAGAAAACAACAGAAAAGACATTTTCTAGGAAGAATAAATCCATTACAGCACCAGAAAACAAGAAGGAATTATCTGGGTTCCCTGAAGAAGGAAGGCAAATGGGAACAAACTGAAGGAGAAAACAGAACCCCAAAAAGTAAAACCATGAAATAATAAAAAATAATAATAATAATAATAGCTGACACTCATACAGCACATATATATGCCAAACACTGTTCTAAGAATTTTGGCATATATCATCTCATTCAACTCTCACAAAAATCCTTTGAGATAAGAGACTATGATGATCCCCACTTTATAAACAAGACCCAGAGTTACATAGCTCTCCCAAGGTCAGAGTGCTTAGTAAAAGCCGGCGCTAGGATTTGAACCCAAGGAGTGTGGCTGAGGATTCTGTGCTCAGTCAGAGGAGCAGTTCTGGGGGCTCCAAGTTTGGAGCCAGCAGATGGGGGCCCAAGAGAGGCCCTGAGTGGTCGGTGATTGGATTTGGAGTAGCCGAACAAGTGGGCCCCTGCCCCACCTCTCCACCCATGCTTGTGCCCTGGACATTGAGGTAGGGGGGCAAGGGGACACCTAGACAGCTCCTGTAGTCCCTGGCAGGCACATCCCACCCTCCCGTGCACAACCAGTAGCGGCTGACTCTGGAGCACAGAATCAGGGTTCACTGAGAGGTGACCGGAAAACCTCAAAATACAAAGAGAGACATACCAAGACTCACCAAACATTTGACAAAAACTAAAACCACCAAAGAAGCACCAAATTTGAGAACAGAAGTTCTAGCTAGAAAACAAAATTAATAAAGTCAACAAAATGAAATGTTTCTAAAAGTATGATTAATATCCTCTGAGGGATAAGAGGGGCTACTGAATCCATGAACCAAAACAAAGCTGTTACCAGAAGAATGTTAAAGATCTTAGAAATGAAGGAAATACACTCTTATTAACCAGTTAGCTCTGGATGAAAGAACAGAGTGACTTCATTAAAATCTTTCTTTATATATTTCTATTTTTCTAAGCTTCCTATACCAAACATGTATTACTTTTAGATCGGAAAAGTTATTTTTTAAAATGCCTGGCACTGAGGTAGGTGCTCAGTAAGGTTTGGTTGCAAAGTAGTTGCTTTGCAAAGCAAAAGTGGCTAGATCCTGCCCCCTGTGCCAGCCCTTGGCCCCAGCCAGGCTGGTCCACAACTCGCTGTCCTCCAGTGGCACCATCCAGACTCCCATCTCCAGGTCTCTGTGCATATGCTTCCCCTCCTGGGATGCCCTTATCTCTCATCTCTGTTTACCCATATTTGCCTGTTCTTCAATGCCCACTCAAAGATTACCCTTGCTAACGAAATGTCCCTGTATCCTACCTAACCCACCCCATCTCTTCTCTCCCAAACTCCTAAGGTCACCTAATTTTCCAGGGTCGTGGGACAGCTCTGGCTGAGCTGTCCTGTGGGGTCACAGTACTGACAACTTATCTGTCCTTTACCTTCCAGTGAGTCCGAGTCTTGTCTCCCCAACTCTATGGTAGGCTCCTTAAAGACACCAAGAGGACACTAGCCTTCTTTTTATACCCCACTGCACCCAAATAAAGCTGAGAAGATTTTGCAAGAACATTCTTATATGTCAGTCGAGTGACTGACGAATGAGCTTCTGTTGCTGGGGGGAGGCAAAAGAGGAAAACTATTGTGGAAACGCAGTTACTCAACAGGGTTGGGCCCAGCACAGCAGGAGGCCCTCCCACCTGGGTGAGGCCCTCAGAAATGGGCTACCTTGTTCCAAACAACTTTGAACTCCTATCCCTTGTCTGGAATCCAGAAATACCTGCAAACCCAGAAGGGGTGGTTGGTAAACCTAGGGGTAAAATATCGATGAGGAACAGGATGTTTCTCTGGTTTTAAGGTGTCTCCCCACAGATTGCTTATTAGTAGCGAGGGGAAATTAGTCAATGCACAGTGGAGAAATTGGACAACACCTTGACCGAGTGACCAAACAACATCACACATAAGGGGCAGATGGACATCAGTGCCTCTGGATGTAATACACCGAAAAGGACACAACATCACTCATGTATATTCCAGCCAGGAATGTGTAACCAGAGTCAAAACATGAGCGAACATCAGACAAATCCAATGGGAAGAACATTCTATTTCTTTAAAAGGGGGAAGAGGAGGCTATATTCTTCAAAAATATCAATGTCATAAAAGACAAAGAAAGGCTGAGGAACTGCTCTGGATGAAAGGAGACTAAAGGGACATGACAACTAAATGCAGTATGGGATCCTAGACTGGATCCTGTCCTGGAGAGGAAAAAATGCTGTAAAGGACATTATTGGGTCAACTGACAAAACTGGAATACCACCAGCAGATTAGATCAAGTATCGTATCAATGTTCAATCTACCGAAGGTTATGTAAAACAGTATTCTTATTCTTAGGAAATCTACCCTGAAATATTTAGAGATAAAGGGCCATGATGTAGGCAACTTACTCTTAAATGGTTTAGAAAAAAATTGGGCGAGCGAGAGAACATAAATGATAAAGCAAATGAGGCAAAATGTTAAAAATAGTGAATCTGGATAAAAGAGTATAAGGGTGTTTTGTACGATTCTGGAACTTTTCTGTAAGTTTGAAATTACTTCCAAATACAAAGTTTGGAGGAAAAAAACCAACAAAGGGGCCCCTTCCATTAGACAGGGGTTGGGGTAGGTGTGGAGCAGACATGGAGGTGAATCCAGGGGGGACACTGGTCCTCACATGTCTGCATCGGGCACAAAAATTCCACTTCCTCTCCCACTTTGGCCCTTCTCTTTTCTTACTTCTCTGTCGATTTACTCCTTCCTCTCCCCAAGATCAGCAATCTTCCAGGAGGCCTCCATATTAATACCAGAGGACAGGATTATTAACCTTTTGGGTCTATTCTTAATGGTAGTTAATATTTTCTGGAGATGTTTTGACACCTGTTTTGTCTACAAGCCCATAATAATGAGTCATGTTATATTTGTTCAGCCACTACCTTCTGGGTGTTACATGGTATTTCATTTCCCCAAAAAGATTTGTGGCTAGTCTTATTCGTACTGCCTGACTTTAGGCCTTTAGGCCATGTTCCTCCCTTCTGAGATCTGAGGCAAGCTGTCTGGAGTGGGTGCCCCCTTTCCCACACCCCACCACGATCACCACCACCTAACTCCAAGGTAACCCCCCCCACACACACACCCAGGCACAGCCTCGCTCCCCAGGCTCTGTCTGTCACAGCCGGGTGTGGTCACTTTAAATACCTCACAGCCAGACAACTGACAGTCTCTTTAAGCAGCCTCACGGAGCAAACCATCATATTGTACAAACTCATTTATTTATTATTCAGAAATCCTTATACGCATCGTTTCTATGCAGACTACGCATTGCTAAGTAGGCTGGAGTATGAAAGCTGAAGCACAATAGTGGGGCTGGTTGTTTTTAAAACATTGGAAATATAAAATCTTGGAAATTCTACTGTAACATCAAACACCAGAAAACATAATAATAACTTATATTCTGACAGTGCTTTTTACTTAAGGGAGCCCTGTCAAGTTCATCTCATTATTCATGCATTCATTTATGTGTTCATTAAATAATTGCTCAGTGTCTATGTTGAGACACAGGGACATGCAAAGACCACAGAGGCAAAGACCCAAGTCTGGGCCACAGGAGGCTGACATTCTAAGTGGTCCTGGATTGCCCGTTGGCCCGCTAAACACCTGCTTAGGGTACCGCCCACCATGGAGCACCAAAGAAAATTATTTTCAGGAAGAGAAAATGAGAGAGAATCAAAAAGAAGCTATTGTGGCTTTAGCACACAAATAAATTTTGTTGTTTCTGAAACCACGATTTTATATTATAACTTAGAATTATATTCATTTATTCTTAATTACTTATGGGACCCTAAACTGGTCTGTGCTGTGGGTCTCTAAAGGTTTTAATCCAGCCCAAACAGTAAATAAGGTTGCAATCCCAGATTCCAATAAGGGTCAAGCAGGCAACTCAAATTAGTGAAGACTCGAGAGCTATTAAGAAAGCAGGACTGACAGGACTGGTGAGGGATTATTGGGAGGGAGGGAGAGAGAGGGAGTCGTCGTGGGTGACACCCAGACTTCTGACTTGGGCAATGGCGGTGTCATTCCCTGAGAGAAAAGGACACAGGAACAGGTGTGCGCAGTGACCCACGATGAGCTGCATGTCACATGCTCTCAGTTTGAGATGCTCACGGGACTCTAGACTGGAGGCAGGTCTGGGACCCCAGCTGGATGGGGCACGCACGGGGGAGCATGCTGGGGAGAAGGTGTGAGGGGTGACATTCAGGGCTGGTGGAGGATGAGGTGCTGTGAAGGGGCCTGAGGAAGGACCAGGGTCAGGGAAGTGGGGGCAGGAGAGAGGAAGTTCGGGGCTGTGGTTAACTGCAGAGACAAGTCAGACAGGGACTGAAGAGATTTAGCTGCAGAGGTCACTGGGGGCCATTTAAGAAGGAGTGACTACAAAGGGAGGTGACTGAGACAGTGTGTACGGATGACTCTTGTGAGAAATTTGTAAAGAAAAGAGAGAAAAGCTGCTGGAGAAGTGGAGATGAGGAAAGTGTCCTTCCTCCTTCCCTCCCTCCCTTCTTTCTTTCCTAGATAAGAGAGACCTAAGGATGTTTAAATGCTAAGAACAAACCACAGTGAGGGAGAGCTGATGGATGGGGTATATGTGGTGGGGCACACATGGATGCTCTGGCCTGTCCTGAGGTTGTGGAGGAGAGCACGGTGAGCCACAATCCCATGGGCCAGCAGAACGAGTGTGTCATTATAATCCCCTTTACAGAGAGGAGACCCAGGCATCCGGAGTTAAGGTCACACAAACATTGAAGTACTATAGCCCAGACCTAGAACACAGGTATCCCAGTTCCTGGTCTTGGTCCTTCTTCCAGACCAGCATTCTCAATGGGGCCACCTCTGGGGTTGGGGGACCCTCTGTCAGCACCACGGTGGGTGGGGAGTGCTACAGGTACATGGACGTGGGGACCCGGAATGCTGGACTCCCTGCAATTCCCACCAAGGCCCACCAAAGAACTCTCCCATGTGACTTTGCAATGTTTCAGTGGACATTCACAGAGGTGATAAGCCCATTTATAATATTCTGGTCTAGAACCAAACTCCCTTTCTGAAACAAACACAGAGGATTTTAACATATACTGAATTGTCCAGGCATGCCATTAAAGTGCAAATCAAGGGGATACTGTACTTGATGTTCTTTGGAACTTTACCAAGCGTGGTTCACCATCTGGGAAAATCACGTCAACCTCAGCAGCACCTCTCCTGGTATTTGAGTCACCCACACAACACACCTGTATCTGTGGGTATTTGTAGCTGTTATATTCTCAGTGATTCTATGTACAGGTTCAAGCATCTGACTCCTTCCCTCTGTCTTCCGTGTAGTTGTGCCCAAGCAATTACATATTCGAATATGTGATATTGTATTATAACTAACTGTTCCTTTATTTTCTCTTTTATATTACAGTTTAGGCATTATATTGATTTTTTTTAAAACTCATCGATATAGGTAGGTCATAATATCTATGAATTTTATTCAGGGTAATTAAGAGGCATTACGAATATATGCTAAATAAAAAGAGGGCACCATTCCAGATCGTGTGCCCTTAGAACAAAGGAAACCGTAATGCCGACGGGAATGAAGGGGTGGGCAGAATTAGGTGGCTTCAAACGATCAACCCCACAGAATAAATTCAATGGCCTTAACAGATATGGACACGAAGCTCCTGAATGATGGGTGCATGGACAATGTGGTCAACCTACAGGGCTTAAGAAAACTATTCAATTGGACACCCTTGGGAAGTTTCATTTCTATGATTAATTTAAATTATACTATATCTCAGCATTTTCCAGCATAATGACAATAGGTAGAAGACCACAAGTCATCTGTAGGGGCCAGGGAAATGAAAAATGGTTCAATGTCTGGAGCCAAAGACGTGTTTCGAGGAAGTGAAAGAAATAGGTGTCAGGCTTGTCTCGGGTATATCTTCCTTAATGGATGAGAAGATGAGTAAACAGTACATAAGAGGATGCTGAAGGATATTTATGGAAAACGCTATATCATAAGGACCACGGACAGGAATATAGAGAAGTGATCTCAGAGGACCTCCACTAGGTTAAAAAGGCAGGCCAGAATACTTAGGACTCAGATTCCGAGATGGTCATTTAATGGTGGGGTAAAGGCAGCCTAATTCCCATAGGCGTACCCGTCACTGCCAAACAGGGACAAAAGGCAAAATAAAAAAAGATGTGTCCTTCAATCAAGAGGGGACAGCTAACTGACTCACGTGTCCTCCCCAGCCTGAGGACACTGGGGCCTGGGAAGAAAGGAAGGGAGCAGCCTGCTGGCTTGGAGTGCTAAAGGGGGTCCAGAATCAGAGCTTTCTGAGCCTGGCTGCTCCACTAAACTCACAACTCTTATCACCTCTCCTCTCAGTTTCCTCATCAAAAAATGAATAAAACACAATAGAACATTTTAGAGTCCATCAGTGTACATTTTTCTATTGTTTTCATGTTTTTCCAGGAGCATTTGTATATTTTTTAAAAATTTGAAAACGTCAGGTCAAAGCAGCTGTAGGGATCAACAAGCAGACTGACTCTCAGATGAGCAGCTGCGTCACTTCCCAGATGGAG